CAGGATGAGGAGGAGGAGGAGGAGGAGGAGGAGAAGGAAGATGGGGAGGGGGAGGAGGTGGAGGAGGAGGAGGATGAGGAGGAGGGGGAGGAGGAGGAGGTAAGGAGGAAGAGGAGGAGGAGGGAGGATGAGAGGAGGAGGAGGAGAGGAGGAGGAGAAGGAGGAGAGGAGGAGGAGAGGAGGAGGAGGAGGAGGAGGAGGGAGGAGGAGGAGGAGAGGTGGAGGAGTAGGAGGAGGGGGGAGGACCTCCCCGCCGCCCACCGCTGACAGCAGGGGCGAGGCGACCGAGGCGTTCACCATGCCGCCCGGCGTGCGGCGGCGCGGAACGCCCGCCCCTATAAAAGGGGGGCGAGGCGGGGGGCTCCGTCTGAGCCTGGCGGCAGGAGGCGTAGAGGTAGGGACCCAGACATGCTCGCGTGGCAAAGCATCAGGACGGGAGGTCTTGGGCTGTTTTTGGCCCCGGGGGGCCCTCGCCGGGCCCTGGGACCGTCAACAAAAACGACTCAGGACGAGAAGCCGGTCCCGGGGAAAGAGTCGGGACTTCCTGGGACGCCGTCCTGAAAAAAACAGGACGTCGCATGTCTGGGGAGGGGTCGGGGGGGCGGATCGGCGGCGAGCGAGGAGGCGGAAGAAAGATTGAGCAGGCCCTCTCAGACGGTGGCGGGGCTTCTCAGGAGCCCTCTGGCCTTCCTGAAAGCTCCCGCGTCTTCGGGGAAGGCTCAAACAACTCCTCAGAAGGCAGGAGACCTTCCGAGCCTCCTGAGAAGGCCCGCTCGAGTCGAGGGCAGAACTCGGCGCCCTTCTTTTCCTCCCTCCTCCTCGTCCTCCAGCACCTCCTCCTTCTCCACCTCCCCACCCCCCTCTCCTCCCCTCCTCCTCCTCCTCCCCCTCCTCCTCCTCCTCCTCCTCCTCCTCCTCCTCTTCCTCCTCCTCTCCTCTTCCTCCTCCTCCTCCTCCTCCTCCTCCTCTTCCTCCTCCACCTCCTCCTCCACCTCCTCCTCCTTTTCCCTCCCTCTCCTCCTCCTCCTCCTCCTGCTGCTGCTGCTGCTGCTCCTCCTCCTCCTCGTCCTCCTCCTCCTTCAGCTGCCGCCCGTTTCGTCGCCGTCGCTGCCGCCGTCATCGCACACGCAGCCGCCGACATCGTCGCACCTTGGCATGAAGCGAGCGGGTCCTGAGGGGAAACGGGCACTGCGGCGAGGAGGAGGAGGAGGAGGAGGAAGAGGAGGAGGAGGAGGAGGAGGAGGAGGAGGAGGAGGAGGAGGAAGAGGATGACGAGGAGGAGTCTGATGGGGGAGGATGAGGAGGACGACGACGAGAAAGAGGAGGAGGATGAGAAGGAGGAGGAGGAGGAGGAAGAAAGGGAGGACGAGAAGGAGACAAATGAATGACGACCCCCCCGAAAAAAAACGGGGGACCCTCACTCAATAAAGACCACTCCGCTTCCGCATCAGCGGTGCGCTCACAAGCGCAGGGGCGCTCGTGTTCGATGGGGGCGCGGGCGCGACCCCTTTTCAGGCCAACGACGAAGGGGAAGAGGACGAAAGGAATAGGAGGGGGAGGAGGAGGAGGAGGAGAGGAGGGGAGGGATGAGGATGAGGATGAGGATGAGGATAAGATGAGGATGAGATGATATGATGAATGATGGGAAGAGGAGGAGGATGAGGAGAGGAGGAGGAGGAGGAGGAGGGAGGGAGGGGGAGGGAGGGAGGGAGGGGGGGAGGGAGGGATGGGGAGGAGGAGGACGAGGAGGGGGAGGAGGAGGAGGAGGAGGAGGAGGAGGAGAGGAGGAGGATTAGAGTAGAGGAGCAGGGGAGGAGGATGGGGAGGAGGAGGAGGAGGATCGCCCGCCGAGGGAGCGTGGTCGTGTGGCGGCACGACACACCGCGACCCGAGGACCGACCGATGTGATTGCGATGGGGTGGCCCGCCTGGCTCCTGCGGGCCTGGAGGGGCCTGATGGGGTCCCTAGGAAGATGATTGATGATGATGATGATGGAATGATGATGATGATGATGATGATGATGATGATGATGGATGATGATGATGATGATGATGATGATGATGATGATGATGATGATGATGATGAGGAAGAGGAGGAGGAGAGAGGAGGAGGAGGAGGAGGAGGAAGGAGAGGAGGAAGGAGGAGGGGGGAGGAGGAGAGGATGAGGAGGAGGAGGAGGAGGAGGGAGAGGAGGAGGGGGGAGGAGGAAAGAGGAGGAGGAGGAGGGCGGAGGAGGGGAGGCAGGAGGAAGGAGGAGGGGGGGGAGGAGGAGGAGGAGGAGGAGGGGGAGGAGGATATGACGCTGTGGAGGCGGCCGCGCGGGTGCACTGGCCGACACAAGAGGACGAGGGGTAGGGGTCACCCTACCCCTCCAGCTGCAAAATCGCGGGCCTCCCCCACCAAGTGGATCACGGGGAGGGCAGCAGCAGCGGCAAAAAGCATAGCGAGTTTAAACGGCACCAGGACCAAACGCCACAGGAGCCAGGGAGCCCGAGCCAGGAGTGGTGAGGGGCGGGCCCCCGAGAAAAGACGTTAGGCCCTCAAGAGCCTGAGCCAAGAAACCCCAGGGTCGGAGACCTGCAAGGGCCTGGGCTGGGGGAGGCTCCTGGATCCAGGTCTCCCCTCGTCAGAGGGGTGCTTCCTCTCCAGAAACAATGTACGATTCCTCCTGGCGTGCTCACCCAAGGGCACGACTGGTGAGCAGTCTGGGAGAAGCTGACCTGCCTGGCCTGTGGTAAAATATCCACATCTAACACAGAGCACGACATGTCCTGGCGAGACCCAGGGATAGTGCCCTCGAGCGTGACACGACTGCACCATGCCGCACGACGGCATTGGCGCTTCTGGCACTGTTGTCTCAGAACTCTTAGCTCGGCCTGGCCGCGGTCCAAGGTTCCTTCTCTTGGGAGGAGGAGGACCAAAGGAGGAGGAGGAGGAGGAGGAGAGAGCCTGGACCGCTGTCGCCAATGAAGCGGCGTCTCGGGACCGAATCTGGACGACTGGGCTGAACACGATCCGCGAGCGGAAGAGTACCAGGAGGAGGAGGAGGACGAGGAGGAGGACGAGGAGGAGGAGGAGAAGGAGGAGGAGGAGGACGAGGAGGAGGACGAGGAGAGGAGGAGAGGAGGAGGAGAAGGAGGAGGCGGAGGACGAGGAGGAGGAGAGAGAGGGGAAGGGCAAGGGGGAGGAGGATGTGGAGGAGGAGGGGAAGGAGTGGTAAAGACCAAACGCAGACACTTACTTTGTCACAGTTCGATGGTTCGGCTTCTCAGTACAATGATACGACCTTAGCTTGTATCCCGTCTCAGAAACCAAGGTTGGACCCAACAAGCCACCGCTTATAGTCACACCATCCAGCACAATGACCTCCATCACCAGCACATGCAGCAGACATACACAGCACCAATCAGCAGTCTCTTCCAGTACACCCACGGCAACGACATCACGCGAGACACAGCCTCATATTCTGCACGGGAGCCGAAGGACATACCTGGGGGGAGAGGCATTGGAGGCTAGAGTCACGGGGAAGGCCCTGGTATGGCAGACATATCATACAACACACATGCTTACTAGCCAATTGATATCGAGTTTGCTAGTCCGAGTCATAATACATCCATGCGCTGACCGGGACACAGCAAGACATGTCTTGTCATGTACAGTGCTCGCTCTTACGCAGTACATGTACTAATTTGCACACCTCCGATGGCATGGATTGAGACATACCTACGAGTTGCCCTCCCACATATGACCCCGCGTACTCGCAATAACTTGCGTTCGGCAATGATTATTCTCATACGTGCAGTCATGAAAAAGATGCGTTTAGAGGCAGCCTCATACCCTGTATGGGAGCCCATCGGGCATACCTGGGGGAGAAGCATCAATACTGGCCTGGGCGAATCCACATGGAAGCTGCAGTCTACGAGTTCAAGGGGAGATGTCGTGCACAAGATTCCTCAATCTGGCATTATATCACCACCATCCAGCACTACGCCCTGCCACGTATCATCACAACAGCACACAAGCAGTTACGCAGCACTGGCTCCGGCAGCACATCAACTACAGTCGCGGCAAGATACAGCCTCATACCCTGCATGGGAGCCCCTGGGGGGCATACCTGGGGGAGAGGCGTTGGACGGGAGCCATGGTGATGGCATAGAGCACGCATCACACACAGACTTGAATTGTTCAATCAGCAAACAGCGTACTATATCAATCGCATGGTTACTCAACCATACCAGGCAACGCGCCGTAACCATCAGGCTCAAGCCTCTTTTGCTGACATACCAGCTCTTACTTGCATCCCCAGCATCATCTTGCAGACTCCTCCCTACAATTCACGGCCAGTACTGACAACTACCGCAGAAAGTCTACACCTGAACCCCTCGAAGGCCCAGGAGCACATATGTAAGCCGTAAGGGTCAACCTTCCTATCAAGTTGCACGCTAGACACTTGGAGGGCCCATGCTACAAGCTACCCTCCGACCAGCACAAACCCACAAACCCCCTTTTTTAGGACGCCACCCCCCACACATGTCCGCTCTCAATACTGATTTGCCGGCCTGGTTGCACACCGCTGCGCTCCGACAGAAGCAGCTTGTACTCATCGTTGGCTATCAGCTTTCTGGTGTTCCTCTCTGCTACAAGCTGTTTCTACAAGATGCTCCAGGCGCCGAACTTCCCATACTATCTCATCCCCACTCCTCTTGCGCACCCTAGACCTGTGCTTCTGGCCAGCCTGCAATATTACAGGCCAGCCACACGGCCAGCTTACTCTTAAGGCCAGCCCCCATGCACATTGACGATTCTAGCAGCACGCAGAGCCAACGCTAGGTACTCTGAGGGAACCAGAGACAAGTTACCCTCCACTCACCACGCCTTCAGTGGGCACGGGTTAGCTACGGCCATGCAGTCGTGTTGAGCATACCTTTGGCAATCTACAAGCGCCACTCTTTAGCATGGCCTCACCAACGTTTTTGTATGTCATGCGCTCAGCGTGCACA